TTCTTCTACCCCCCACCAAACCATTCCCTCTTGCCCCCAGCCCACCAGAGGGACCCAGACCGCAGGTCTCCCAGCCCTGGTTCCCTCATTGGGTGGTAAGGGTCCTGGGAGAAGTACTGGGATACGGATACTGACCAGCCAGCTCGCTGTGGTCACACCAGAAGATCCTGTTGAAGTCATCCAGGTCATTCCAGTGAGCAAGAACATTTAGAGAGTCTTTGATAGCTAATTTGGCCAGCCTTCAGGTAAGGATAGGCTAAGGGTTTGAAAGTTACTCTCAAAATCACACAATGTAATTATAAGCAACCCCCTTGGTCTAATCCAGCCCTGTCCCTGTTCAGTACATAGGAGCCCCTGGACCAGGATACCTCCCTCTCCTCCAGGTTTAGTAAAAAAAAAGAAAGAAAGAAGGAAACATGATAAAAGAAGATAGGTAACTGGCACTGATCTCACCCCTTGGCCAGTGAAGTCTCAAAGTCAGTTCTCTTGTCCTCCAGAAACCTCTCATTTGGCAGGAGGTCACCTAAATTGGCCACAGCCACATTCAGGATTAACACATCCTTCCAGTTACCCCATCTGTGGTGGAGAAATGAAATCAGGCATTGATGCCCGGAAGGGCCAGGACTCACTGCCAGGTCAGCAGGGGTAAGGGCGGGGTAAGGCTAACCGGTACAGCTTTATGATTTAACTAGAAAATATCCACCTACAAATGGCCAAAATGCAGTTTTATTTGCGTGCCTAAATTAATTTTTGGCATGCAAAAAAATTAGAAAAATGCTAGCTCTAACATTAAACTGAATGAATGAATGAATGAATGAATGGAAGCATATCTTGATTTGGAAATCAGGAGATCCTAAGGAGAAGCACAAATAAATTCTTTTAAAAACAATTAAGGAATTAGAAATTTTAGTGACTGTCTCTGAACTCTTCTGAAGCTAATAAATGCCAACACCCCATTCTTCTGCTTTCTCTAGCTCCCCCACTATATCCTTGGCTCTTTCCCATCCCTTCTTCCTTCCCCTCAGTCCCCTCCACTACCACTCCCTACCGACTTAAGGAAAAATGAGAGTAGGCATTCTAACAGCTCCCATTGGAGAAAAGCTTGTCTCAGCAAGAGAGGAGGAACCAGCAATTGTTCCAGATTTTCTCAAAGACCCTGATGGGTTCACAAAGGCATTTAACTGTTAGAACATGTAATCCTGGCTATTCTAACCTATTCCAATTAATACAGCTAATGGTTTCTGCCAGCAAATGCAACACAATTTCTAAATAAGGTTTGCAAGAAAATTCCTGTAGAGAAAATCTGTCCACTGTTAGAATGATAGGAAACTGAAATAGGATGTAGAAAAAGGGGGGGAAAACCCCACAAAAACAACCATAGGGTTGATCCATGGGTATTTCCCATTTTCACTGATAGTTTGGGAGCCGGTGAAATTATCATAGAAAGAGAAGCCATGAAGACCTCTGTATGTACTGGGGCTACTCTGTTTGTCCCTAACCACATCCAGCTAACTGTCTTCTCCTTCAGAGTAAAGCTTCTGTGCAAATGGCAGGAATATTTAATCAATGTCTGTTTTTAATCAAAACCTGTTTCCAACTAGGGAATGTTATAGCAATATTAGCAAATATCTATCTTTGCTAATAAAATCTACCCAATTCAACTGATAGGGAGAAGTATTTTTATTTGTTTGTTTGTTTTATGAAATCAGTGATACCCACATATGCCTTTTCCAGAGGGTAATATTCCAGAAGGGTATATAGAAATAAATGAACAAGGTATTGAACCCAACAGAGCCTGAGACCCAATGGTGTGTCCTGAAAGTTGGGGTCCTGGCTGCACCCAGGTTTCCTCGGGGGCTCTGGAAAAGGATCTGCTGGTGGAATCATGCACAGACATGGAGAGGCATGGGGGACATGGTGAGCATTCAGCAGGTAAGATGGGCATTTGGCCGGTATTTGTCCGAAAAGGAGCCCAGAGTTGGAACCGCATGCATGTACCTCTGTCCAATACCCACCTTGTGTTGGGGGAGCTGGACCCTTGGTTCTGAGCTCAGGCTTATGCAGTTGTGAACCCAATCCTCAATGGAAAATTGGGGAACTGAGTGGCAGATATTCCCCCATGTCCACGACATTCAGAGCCCAGAGTTCAGGAATGTTCAGACCTTCCAGGCCAAGGCTCCCACCTCTCCAAAAGAGTTGGTCCGGACATTAGAAATCCTGACATACTGGACAGCTCCTGCCTGTTCCTCCGTATCTAGGGGTCAGGGGGCGCTTTGATCTGGGACTCAGGAAGAGCACTAGCTATTTATTTATTTATTTATTTATTGCTTGCTTGATTTATTTATCTATCTATCTATCTATCTATCTATCTATCTATTTATTTATTTTACTAAGAAGAATTTTTGTATTTTTTTATTTTATTATAGTTTATAGTATTACATATGTTTCCTTTTCCCCCCATGGATCCCTCCCCAGCCGCTCCCACCCCCCAGTACATGCCCCTACCCCCTCAGTGTCTGTGTCCATTAGTTCTGCTTTATGCATGCATAAAAGTCCTTTGGTTGATCTCTTACTCTCCCCACAACTCTCCCCTGCCATCCTGCTGAGGTTTGAGGGTCTGTTCAATGCTTCTCTGTCTCTGGATCTATTTTTGTTCATCAGTTTATGTTGTTCATTATATTCCACAAATGAGTGAGATCATGTGATATTTATTTTTATCTGACATAACACACTCTGAACAATGCAGCTGCCCTCACCAACCACCAAGGATGTGACACTGAAGACGGTGATGGCCACACTGCCCAACTTTCATCAGGCTTCTCTCCAGATGTCCATTACCTGGCAACTGGGCAGACGTCAGCCCGTTAGTGTGAGAGCCCGGTGGCCTGGTCCCTGAGGACGGGGGCAGCTGTGGGGAGGTGTGGCGCTCCAAACTGGGGTTCATAAGGCTCTCAGCTGCTTTTCTCTCTCCCTCTCAGGTGGCTCTGGGCCAGCATGAGGAGGAGTATTTTTCAGGCCCTGAGCCCAAGGCTGTGCTGAAGAAGTTCAGGGAGGAGCTGGCTGCCCTGGATAAGGAAATTGAGGTCCGGAATGCAAAGCTGGATATACCCTACGAGTACCTGCGACCCAGCATAGTGGAAAACAGTGTGGCCATATGAGCACCCCCGGCCTGTGGTTGTCTCAGCATCTCTTCCCCCAACCCAAA